AATAATTTGTTTAATAATAAAAACATAATTTGTTCAACTTATATTGCTTTACTGTGATGAACCTGTCAGGAAATACTAAGTTACATTAATAATTATAAATAGCTAATTTGAGATGTAATACTACTGAATACATTTGATTTGATGATGCCTGGGCTATGGAACTCTTGATAATCAAAATTAAATGTCATAGTCTCCAAGAATGAACTAGTGGTTACCAAAGGGGAGGGGTGTGGGAGGGCAGGTGGGGAGGGAGGGAGAAGGGGATTGAGGGGTATTATGTTTAGTACACATGGTGTGGGGGAATCACGGGGAAAACTGTAGCACAGAGAAGGCACATAGTGGATCTGTGGCATCTTACTACACTGATGGACAGTGACTGCAATGGGGTATGGATGGGGACTTGATAATATGGGTAAATGTAGTAACCACATTGTTTTTTCATGTGAAACCTTTATAAGAGTGTATATCAATCATACCTTAATACAAAATTTAAAATAATTAAATATCATAGTATAATATACATAGTAAAATGGGCACAGATAACACAGGAAGTTTTTTTTATAAAAGCAGCCTACAAACTGTTAGTTTAAAATGAGCTGGAAACTCATTTATGGGAATGGTCATCAAGTTTTTAGATATGGACCAAAAGATGCGTGTTTATATATTCTTTAAAAGAAATGAAAAGATTTTTTAAAAATTTCCTGCAAATATCCTTTTGGTATTGTATTTATTTACAGTTAGGGAAATTCTGTTTGCAAGTTTGGTGTCATATTTTAATAATGTGAAATATGCTGAAAGTACAAGATTTATTAATAGAAGGAGTGTATTTTCCTTTTTACTAGATCTTCTATAGATCCCTTCTTTTCTTTTCTCAGAGCCATTACCCTTGTTTCAAGTGCTTTAACCATCTGGTAGTTGTCTGTTGCAGTGAGTCCTTTCTGGCTGAACTGATTGTTAAATTTTCAGGTAATTTGTGATCTGATAGTTAAGCACAACTAGGACTAAAAATTATTTGTATCTGCAATTAAGTAAATTATATTGAAACAAAGGTAATAAAAGCCCTGACGTTATCACTACCTACTTACTTTACATTTTACTGTTATTTCTGCTTTTGAGGTTATTTATGTTCCTTGTATCTGAAAGGTTGAACATACTCTGTTATGATGCGCAACTGTGTATCTCTTCCCAACTCTGTGTTCAGTGACTTCACATTTGGTGGCTTGAAGCTGGTCATGGTGGGAATATTTACACCACATAAATAGGCATATGCCATAAGTCAATTTTTTGTTTGCTGTTTTTGTTTGCTTTTTTCCTGAGAGGGATGGTTAAAGATTTGCCAGCATACCACACCGCTGCTTGCAGTCTGCCAGCTTTTGTTCTCCTTGCTCATAGGCTGTCCTCCCAGCTGTCTGTTTAGAACAATCTACCATGCTTCATTTTCCTACATTGGGAATGCTGAGCTTACAGGAAGGAAAGAGGTCAGAAGAGTGTGGTAAAAATCTATAGTTTTTGCCTTTAATAACAGATGAGTTTAGTATCTCTGAGCCTACATTTGTTTATCTTTAAGATAGGACAATGATGCCTTTTTGTTCTACCTACCTAACAAGATTTTCAAATTAAAATCACAATGTACTAATGTGAAAGCTCTTTGGAAAGTACTATATACACATACTTTTTTATTATTAGTAGACACTTGCCTCACTTTTTCACTTATTGGCTTAAGTTTATGAAAGCTTGTAACAGAATGGAGTTTATAACCTAAATTGCTGTCCCTTATTTTTCACAGCCTAACTGCCACATGTATTTGTAACTGTACTTCCATTGCTTATGTTCAGTTCTGGGATGGTGAGCACCACGCGGCTGTACCATCATTTTCTTAGATGGTGGCCACTGCAGATGCTGCATGATCATGCCACTTCTTTAAGTACTGTGTTCAGACTGTCCTGAACTATTTTCATTCTTGTTATCCAGGAAAAAATACCAATGGATCCCACTGGGCAATAAAGATGAAACCTAGTTATCACCCTTTGTAAAGGCTTGAAGGCTTTTGTTAAGATCCAGGTACTGCAAGTTAATGGAAAAAAAGTGACATACTAAACCACAGTCACTTGGTGATATCTTAGCAAGAAATGATTGATGAAATTACTTAGCCTTTGAGCTGGGCCATAATTCAGTTAAGTTTTAAGAAAGGACAAGTTGTAAAGATGTCAGGAGCTTAGGGCAGGGACTGACTGACTTAGATGATAGAGACCAAGGAAGTGTAAACAAGAATCTGGACCCTTGGGGTGGGGGTGATGAAGGTGTACATGAGGGCCATCTGCAAAGTTTTGTCTAAAATAATGTCAAAATGTTTACATTTGGTGTAGCGTTTCCTACTCTTATTCTGAATGGCTTTGCTAGAATACTTTTCTTATTATGAGTTTATTTTTGCCTCTCAGACTTCGCTAAAATAGTCTTATTTTATTTTTGGTGAGTAATATGCATTTTGATGTATTACCAAAGTTTCAATGACACCAAATTTCAGAACTCTGAAGAAAAGAAAGATATTAAGGAAAAAAGGTATATGGTTGAGAATCACTAATTCCAGTTTCAATTCCTTTCTTTAATAAATGCATGAACTTTACATAAGAAAAGTATCATTTGCTCACATTTATCTTTGTACATGATTTCTTGATTTTATAATTCTCTTCCCTCTTTCTCTCCCTCCTTTTCCTTTTTCCTTCAGCTTCCTTTTAGATTTTCTTATCTCTGTGAAGATTATTTTCTTATCCATGATAGTTAGAAATTATGTATTTGAAAATAACTGGGGTATCCTGCCTAATTATTTACTATAAGAACTTTCCTAGTTTTCATCATAAATTGTTGTTTATTGGAGAGCAGATGTGTGTAACTGCTGTGGGGAGAGGAGACAAAACATAAGAAAGTTATTATCCCCCACTCTCAAGTCATGACTCAGATGTGATAATTAAGTGAACAAATTGATACAAACTGTTCTTTAACCTTCCAGTTATATAGTCATTTCATTCAACATATAGCTCGTTGCTGAGTACTATGTGTTATAGGAGCAAAGTTATGTAACAGTGTTGATTGAGGGTCTACTTATCATTCATGGATCATTTATATTTGAAGTAATAGAAACTGGATTTCAACAATTATACCAAATCATAAACTCTGGTAGCTGGTTATTTTGGGGCAGTTTTTTCTTTTTGAAAGAATGATTTTAATATAGACTGTTCAACAGTTTATTTTTTCCTCTAGAAAGCTTTCAACCATCATTTCTGATCCTCTCTGACAGAGCTACAGTCACATTAGTCCTGAGGTTTTTGTGTTTTATACAGGTGTGTCCTGTAAGATATGAAGCCCTGGTATTTATATAAGTTGACTTATTTTATTCTCATATTTGTACATCCACATTTTCTACATACCAGGAGATTTGAAATGGTATCTGGTTCTACGTCTACACTGGAGACCAAATCAAGTGAATATTTATCTTTCCCATGCTCTTTATTTTAGCTGGACCAGACCAATTTTGAGGAAAGGGTATAGACAACGCCTGGAATTGTCAGACATATACCAGATTCCTTCTTCTGATTCTGCTGACAATCTCTCTGAAAAACTGGAAAGGTATGTTCACGCACAGTGTTTATTAGTTGAAGAGAAAATAAATATTAACCATTTAAAGAATAGACAACTGACATACTAAAGGGCTTAATTCTTAAAATGGCATATTTAAGATAGGAACATCTTATTTTCTTGTTGAAGTGTTGGCCAGTTAAGAATCAAACAATGAAATGTTGAAGGAAAACTAATTATTTTCCTGGTAAATGACTATCTTTTTGAAAAACACATATTTGAATTCTGAGATGTTCCCTGTCTTTAAAGAATATCATGTGGACCTCATAAGGAGTGAAATAACATCTTTATGAAGCAAACTGTGTATCTTTTCCTCTTGAGTTTTTTGGAATAGTTGGAGAAGTAGAGGTATTAACTCTTTCTTGAATGTTTGATAGAATTCACCCATGAAGCCACCTGGTTCTGGACCTTTGTTTGTTGGGAATTGTTTGATTCCTGAGTCAATTACATTACTACTACGTGATCTTTTCAGATTTCCTATTTCTTTCTGGTTCAACCTTAGAAGATTGTATGTTTCTAGGAATTTATCCATTTTTTTCTAGGTTGTCCAATTTGTTAGCATATAATTTTTCATAATTATCTCTTATAATCATTTGTGTACCTGTGATGTCAGTTGTAACTTCTCTTTCAGTTCTGATTTTGAGTCTTCTTTTTTTATTGATTAGCCTATGGTTTATCAATTTTGTTTATCTTTTTAAAGAACCAATGTTTAGTTTCACTGATCTTTTATATTGTTTTTTTTTTAGTCTCAATGTCATTTATTTCCACTCTGGTCTTTATTGTTTCCTTCTTTCTATTAACTTTGGATTTTGTTCTTTTTCTAGTTCATTTAGGTATAGGGTTAGGAGTGTATTTTCTTGTTTCTTGAGGTAGACCTGTATTGCTATTAACTCCCCTCTTTGAACTGGTTTTGCTGCATCCCAAAGATTTTGAACTGCTGTATTTCTATTTTCATAATTCTCCAACTAAGTTTTTATTTCCTCTCTGATTTCTTCTTTGATCCATTGGTTGTTTAATAGCATGCTGTTTAGTCTCCACATTTATGTTTTTTTCCCAGTTAATTTCTTGAAATGGTTGCCAGTTTCATACTATTGTAATCAGAAAAGATGTTTACTATGATTTCAGTCTTCTTAAATTTATTTAAACTTGTTTTGTATCCTAACATGTGATCTTTCCTGGAGAATGTTCCCTGTGCACTTGAAAAGAATGTGTATTCTGCTGTTTTTGGTTGTAATGTTCTGTATATATTTATTAAGTCCATTTGGCCTAATGTGTCATTCAAAGCCATTGTTTCTTGTTTTTTAAATTTTTAAATTTTTATTGAAGTATTTTCAATATACAATCTTGTATTGGTTTCAGATATGCAACACAGTAGTTCAACTATTACCCATATATATTATTAAATCCTCACTCCCTCTAGTGCAGTTACTATCTATCAACATAGAAAGATGTTATAGAGTCATTGACTATATTCTCCATGCTGTACTCCTATCCCTGTGACCAACTTCTATTATGATTGAGAATTTTTGTGCTCTTTTATTCTCCTTGCTCTCCCATCCACCCATGCCAACCCCTCTTCCATGGTAACTAGTAGTCACTTCTCAGTATCTGTAAGTCCACTGCTGTTTTTGTTCATTCTGCTTTGCTTTGTTTTTATAGTCCTCAAAGGAGTGAAATCATATAGTATTTGTCTTTCTCTGCCTGGCTTATTTCACTGAGTGTAATACCCTCTAGATCCATCCATGTTTTTGCAAATGACTGGATTTCTTTTTTTATGGCTAAATAATATTCCATCGTGTATATATACCACATCTTCCTTATCCATTCATCTATTGATGGATACTTTGGTTGCACCCATATCTTGGCTGTTGTAAATAATGCAGTGATAAACATAAGGGTGCATATATCTTCCAAATCAGGGATTTTTTTCCTTTGGGTAAATTCCTAGAAGTGGAATTACTGGTTCTAATGATATTTCTACATTTAGCTTTTTAAGGAACCTCCATACTGCTTTCCACAGAGGTTGTACCAATTTACATCCCCACTGACAGTGTAGGAGGGTTCTCATTTCTCCACATCCTTGTCAACACTTGTTCTTGTCTTTTGGATAGAGCCATTATAACTGGTGAGAGGTGATAATTCATTCTGGTTTTGATTTGTAATTCCCTGCTGGGTAGACATGTGGAACATCTTTTCATGTGCCTCTTGGTCATCTCTATTTCTTCTTTGGAGAAATGTCTGTTTAGGTCCTCTGCCCATTTTTATATTGAGTTATTTTTTTTATTTTTTTTTATTTTTGTGTGTGTGTGTGTGTGTGTGTGTGTGTGTGTTGAGGCATACGAGTTCTTTATATATTTTGGATGTTAACCTCTTATCAGACAAATCAGTTATGAATATATTCTCCCATACTATAGGTTGCCTTTTTGTTCTTTTTAGTTTGATGTAGTCCCACTTGTTCAGTTTTTATTTTGTTTCCCTTACCTGAGGATATGTGCCAAGAAAAAATTACTCATACTTATGTTCAAGAGATTTTTGCCTATGTTTTCTTGTAAGAGTCTTCTGTTTCACTTCTTATCAGGCTTTTGATCCATTTCAAGTTTACTTTTGTGTATAGAGTTAGACAGTAATCCAATTTCATTCTCTTGCATGTAGCTGTCCAATTTTCCCAACAGTAGTTATTGAAGAGTCTCTCTTTTCTCCATTATATATTCATGGCTCCTTTATCATATATTAATTGACCATAAATGTGTGGGTTTGCATCTGGGCTCTCTATTCTGTCCATTGATCGATGGGTCTGTTCTTGTGCCAGTACCATACTGTTTTGATTGCTATAGCTTTGTAGTATAGCTTGAAATCAGGGAGCATAATACCCCTAGCTTTGTTCATTTTTTCAGGATTTCTTTGGTTCTTTGGGGTCTTTTGTGGTTCCATATGAATTTTAGAACTACTTGTTCTAGTTAATTCAAAAGTGCTATTGGTATTTTGATAAGGATTGCATTGAATCTATAAATTGCTTTGGGCATGATGTTCATTTTGACAATATTGATTTATCCTATCCATGAGCAAGACATAGATTTCTTTTTTAATTTCTCTCAATGAATGTCTTACAGTTTTCAGAGTGTAGGTATTTCACCTCCTTGGTTAGGTTTATTCCTAGGTATTTTATTCTTTTTGATGCATTTGTAAATGGAATTGTTTTCCTGATGTTTATTGTTTAAATCTTTAACATTTAAACATTCTTTAAGTGTTTTCCATTGTTTCTTTATTGATTTTCTGTCTAGATGATCTATCTTTTGATATAAGTGGGGTTTCAAAGTCCCCAACAATATTGTATTACTGTCAGTTTCAAACCTATAGTATCTAAGAAAAAAATTATTTTAGACCAACCTTTTTCCAGACCATTTGCTTTCTATTCCTACCAGAAAGTATAAAATTTGTTTCTGTTCTAGTTTTCCAAAGACTTTTACTCTAACAAATCACTTTAGAAGTTAAAGACTGAAGTTTGATGATATTTGTTTCATATTTCTACATTTAAAAATGAAGTCTAAATTACAAGCTTTTTAAATGCTTAATTACAGGAAAAAACTCCATTTGACTTTATGTCTTATTTTTTCATTTGACAGTTAAATTTTGTAAAATCTACAATTCTAAACAGGTAAAGATCAAGAGGTGAAAGGAAAAAACATTTTGTTTATTTTTCACCTTGTTGCGGGCACAGCAAGTGTATTCAAAAGAGTCAAATCTTAATTGTCTACCTCTTGCACTGCTTTTAAGAAGCCAGAACCTTTCTTTAACACATATAATGTGACCTTTTCATGAAGTCAACTCCCTGAAAATTGATATATGGTTGAGCAGATATTTTGCCAAATATCTGACTGAGCATTGCTGTTGGAAGGTCTCCACTGGGTTTTGTTTCTTTAGCCTCTTGGGTTAATCTCCTTGGATATACTTTTGAGAATAAAATTATGTTAAGGGAAATAGGACAGCTCAAATATTTGTACATGCAACTTATTGGTTCCACTTTTTATTCTTTTGCAGAGAATGGGACAGAGAACTGGCATCAAAGAAAAATCCAAAACTCATTAATGCCCTTCGGCGGTGCTTTTTCTGGAGATTTATGTTCTATGGAATCTTATTATATTTAGGGGTAAGGATCTCATTTGTAAATTTATTATGGATAAATAACTAATTCACTTTTTTATAATAAGAAGTCTAGGGCTATCTGGTATGTAGACAAAAGGACTAATCTAACTCCAAATACAGGGAAGCCATTAAAACTCAAGTAGAGACAAGTAAAAATGCTTTGAAAGTAAGATGTCCTAGAACATAGGTAACAATTTACAATTTAAAATGAATTCAATAAAATAAATATCTTAAAAAATTTTTATTTTCTGTTATGATCCCAAATCATTTTCTTCCTACATGGGATTTCTTAGTACATGGGATTGCTGGTACCTTTATTTTCCTATATTCAACTGGAGGATGTCAGAGATGATGTTCGGAGAAGAATTAGATCAAATTCAGCTAACTTCATGTATGGATGTTTATAATATTATTTAATCATATCTGCATGCTGAATTGTTTCAAGGAAAAATTGAAAAAATTTAAAATTTGGCAGCAAGGCTTTTGCAATATGTTTTTCTGGTTTCCCACATCTTCATCAGTGTGAAGAGGGTACTGTGCCTTGAAATTCCAGGCTTTGTGATGTTTATGTGTAGTCTGTGACATTTCCTGGCTGCTGTCAAATATGACTCTTATCTGTTATTTTTTTACATCATCAGAGCATCATTTTGAATCCTTGGTTGTAACCTATTACAGATGATGGAACGTTGAATACTTATTTAGTCTTCAAGTTAAGGTTGTGCACAATAGTTAACTGACATCTAGATGCATGCTTGTATTAGTAGTGGTCTTCATGCCCTGGGGAGTTAGCAATGCAAAAGTATCTCCCAAAAAGATACCATACAAGTTGCACTGCCTTAAGAATTTGTAGTTCACACACACCAAGAAAAGCATTTAAAAATTTATTTTGACAAAGATGACCACATTTAAGTCCAGAATATTTATTAATGGTGTTGATAGTCTTCTGGAAAACTTTTCTGGCTTTTGAAATCAGCTTTTTTTTGAAATTATATCTGTCTGTCTGAATGCCTATCTATCTCTCTATATATCCCTATAGAAACTTGCAGTGGTTTGGGGGTGAAAATGTTTTGTTCATAAGGATGAATAAAGTAGCTGCAGAATTAACTATCTTTTAAGATGTCTTTGAGGTGATTTTTCTCAATAAGAAAACTCAGAGCTTTGGGAAACAATCCTATCAATAGCTTCTGGCTCTGTTTGACAATTAAAAAATATCTTTGCTGGTTGCTTTAATGACTGCATGCAATACATTTGAATCAGAATATAGAAGTACAATTCACTGGTCATATCATATAAGAATATAACATTCTCAATAAGTTAGTGTTGGGTTGAAGTGAATGATACTTCAAAACATTGTTAGGTCTTGACTAATATTGTAGTAACATTTAAAAATTTTCCCTATTTCTGGTCTCTATCACACATTGCTTCCATTGTTTAACTTAAAGCAGTGCTGAGTAGAAGCTGTAAGAGGAGTCTAATTATCAAGCCCCTTTTGTGTTCTGTCTGACTTGTGAAATAATTTTCTACAAGTATAAAAATTCATGTAAACAAAAGGGCTCAACTACATGTGAAAGTTTAGGTGAAACATGAACATATTTATTGAATTTATTTTTTGGTCTGGTATACACAGATAAAAAAACAAACATGATATACTTTAATATTTATTGGGTTTAATATTTATTGTACCTAATCTGTTCCTGGTTCAGCATTAAACCCTTTATGCAGATTGTTTTATTTAATTCTCCTAGTATCTTCATGGAGCAGACATTATCTCTAACATACAGAAAAAGAAATTGAGATGCAGGGGAATTAAGAAACTTTCCCGGAGTCATACACATGGTGAATTTGAGTGATAGCCAGATCTCTTTGGCCTCAAAATGAATGACCCTTCTGCTAGATCAGATTGCTATGTGATTATAATTATAATGTAATTAAAATTATAATAGTTGTATTTAGGTACTCAGCAGAATGGTATGTCTAGGAACCAGCCTTGTGTCTGCTGAGTTTATTTGTATGTTTTCAGGAGACACAGGTTAATAGAAGCTTGAAGGTTAAGGATTCTTCCAGGGTTACTTCAGGGGCAAATCTGAAGAAAGTTCACAGCAGGAAGCAGGATAGGGGAACCAACTAGAATCTTCTCACTTATACTTGGAAAGAACTGTATGAAATCTTTCCAAGAGTCCCTATGCTAAGGGCCAAACTAACAAACAAAATTAAGGAATAGAAGAATGAAGTGGGTGTGGAGAAGGACTAACTTATTCTTAAATTTCTCAAGTTTTAAAGTGTCCCGATGAAAGGAATCATAAAGCTTTTCATGGTGTATTAATTATCCATGAGTGGGAGTGAGGGAGAGGCACATTTGAGCCCAGGGCTGCAACTCTGGAACCAGCAGCACATTTGAAGGGCAAAGCTTATTTCCACCAGCTCAACTTCTGATAACCAGTAGGAATATTGGTGAGGAAAAGAACTGATGGGAAAAGCAAATGAGATGGGTATGCTGAGAAGGCACAGAGAGGAACATTTATTTACATTGGCAAGGCACAGNCATAAGAAAGTTATTATCCCCCACTCTCAAGTCATGACTCAGATGTGATAATTAAGTGAACAAATTGATACAAACTGTTCTTTAACCTTCCAGTTATATAGTCATTTCATTCAACATATAGCTCGTTGCTGAGTACTATGTGTTATAGGACCAAAGTTATGTAACAGTGTTGATTGAGGGTCTACTTATCATTCATGGATCATTTATATTTGAAGTAATAGAAACTGGATTTCAACAATTATACCAAATCATAAACTCTGGTAGCTGGTTATTTTGGGGCAGTTTTTTCTTTTTGAAAGAATGATTTTAATATAGACTGTTCAACAGTTTATTTTTTCCTCTAGAAAGCTTTCAACCATCATTTCTGATCCTCTCTGACAGAGCTACAGTCACATTAGTCCTGAGGTTTTTGTGTTTTATACAGGTGTGTCCTGTAAGATATGAAGCCCTGGTATTTATATAAGTTGACTTATTTTATTCTCATATTTGTACATCCACATTTTCTACATACCAGGAGATTTGAAATGGTATCTGGTTCTACGTCTACACTGGAGACCAAATCAAGTGAATATTTATCTTTCCCATGCTCTTTATTTTAGCTGGACCAGACCAATTTTGAGGAAAGGGTATAGACAACGCCTGGAATTGTCAGACATATACCAGATTCCTTCTTCTGATTCTGCTGACAATCTCTCTGAAAAACTGGAAAGGTATGTTCATGCACAGTGTTTATTAGTTGAAGAGAAAATAAATATTAACCATTTAAAGAATAGACAACTGATATACTAAAGGGCTTAATTCTTAAAATGGCATATTTAAGATAGGAACATCTTATTTTCTTGTTGAAGTGTTGGCCAGTTAAGAATCAAACAATGACATGTTGAGGGAAAACTAATTATTTTCCTGGTAAATGACTATCTTTTTGAAAAACACATATTTGAATTCTGAGATGTTCCCTGTCTTTAAAGAATATCATGTAGACCTCATAAGGAGTGAAATAACATCTTTATGAAGCAAACTGTGTATCTTTTCCTCTTGAGTTTTTTGGAATAGTTGGAGAAGTAGAGGTATTAACTCTTTCTTGAATGTTTGATAGAATTCACCCATGAAGCCACCTGGTTCTGGACCTTTGTTTGTTGGGAATTGTTTGATTCCTGAGTCAATTACATTACTAGTACGTGATCTTTTCAGATTTCCTATTTCTTTCTGGTTCAACCTTAGAAGATTGTATGTTTCTAGGAATTTATCCATTTTTTTCTAGGTTGTCCAATTTGTTAGCATATAATTTTTCATAATTATCTCTTATAATCATTTGTGTACCTGTGATGTCAGTTGTAACTTCTCTTTCAGTTCTGATTTTGAGTCTTCTTTTTTTATTGATTAGCCTATGGTTTATCAATTTTGTTTATCTTTTTAAAGAACCAATGTTTAGTTTCACTGATCTTTTATATTGTTTTTTTTTTAGTCTCAATGTCTTTTATTTCCACTCTGGTCTTTATTGTTTCCTTCTTTCTATTAACTTTGGACTTTGTTCTTTTTCTAGTTCATTTAGGTATAGGGTTAGGAGTGTATTTTCTTGTTTCTTGAGGTAGACCTGTATTGCTATTAACTCCCCTCTTTGAACTGGTTTTGCTGCATCCCAAAGATTTTGAACTGCTGTATTTCTATTTTCATAATTCTCCAACTAAGTTTTTATTTCCTCTTTGATTTCTTCTTTAATCCATTGATTGTTTAGTAGCATGCTGTTTAGCCTCCACATTTATGTTTTTTTCCCAGTTAATTTCTTGAAATGATTGCCAGTTTCATACTATTGTAATCAGAAAAGATGTTTACTATGATTTCAGTCTTCTTAAATTTATTTAAACTTGTTTTGTATCCTAACATGTGATCTTTCCTGGAGAATGTTCCCTGTGCACTTGAAAAGAATGTGTATTCTGCTGTTTTTGGTTGTAATGTTCTGTATATATTTATTAAGTCCATTTGGCCTAATGTGTCATTCAAAGCCATTGTTTCTTGTTTTTTAAATTTTTAAATTTTTATTGAAGTATTTTCAATATACAATCTTGTATTGGTTTCAGATATGCAACACAGTAGTTCAACTATTACCCATATATATTATTAAATCCTCACTCCCTCTAGTGCAGTTACTATCTATCAACATAGAAAGATGTTATAGAGTCATTGACTATATTCTCCATGCTGTACTCCTATCCCTGTGACCAACTTCTATTATGATTGAGAATTTTTGTGCTCTTTTATTCTCCTTGCTCTCCCATCCACCCATGCCAACCCCTCCTCCATGGTAACTAGTAGTCACTTCTCAGTATCTGTAAGTCCACTGCTGTTTTTGTTCATTCTGCTTTGCTTTGTTTTTATAGTCCTCAAAGGAGTGAAATCATATAGTATTTGTCTTTCTCTGCCTGGCTTATTTCACTGAGTGTAATACCCTCTAGATCCATCCATGTTTTTGCAAATGACTGGATTTCTTTTTTTATGGCTAAATAATATTCCATCGTGTATATATACCACATCTTCTTTATCCATTCATCTATTGATGGATACTTTGGTTGCACCCATAT